CTGTGGCTCGTACGTTGGTTTGCGTGCAGCCAGCAGTAACAGCCTGGTTGATCAGGCTTTGATCCACCAGGAGGCCTGGTCACAGACCGGGCCGCGGGGGCATTGACCCCCGGAACTCTCTCCAGGTAAACTCCAGGTAAACAGTCAATGGCCTCCACTCCAAACCAACAGATACAGATACTAATGCCGGAAAAAAAATCCCCCCCCAGTACCAACAATACCACCAGTCCGATGACATTCTTCTTTGCAAATATACAGGGTCTAAAGCCAGCAACAAACAACAAAATACCTTTCATCCGTGGACTGCTTGCAGAGGCAAAGGCAATGTTCGCGGCTTTCACTGAGACCCACATAAGGGATCACTTGGACAACGAAATATATCCATCCCAGGTTACAACCTATACAGATGTGACAGAGTGAACAGGCAAAAGGGGGAAGGGTTGAACTGTACATTGCAGAGTCACTTGTTTGCACAGAACTGCTTAATGCCTCAAATGATGTAGTGGAAGTTTTAGCAGTAAAGGTCGAGAACCAAAACCTAGTCATTGTGGTAGTCTACAAGCCTCCGGATGCAACATCCCAGCAATTCCAGGAACAGCTGTTAAAAATTGACCACTGTCTGGAAAATCTTCCAGCTCCTGCACCCAACATCTTGCTCCTGGGGGATTTCAACTTAAGGCACCTAAAATGGAGGAATATAGCAAATAATATTGTTGCAGTAATAACACCAGGAGGCAGCTCTGATGAAAACTCACACTCACACGAGCTTTTAAATCTCTGCACAAAATTCAATTTAAACCAGCAAATAATAGAGCCTACTAGACTGGAGAATACACTAGACCTCATCTTCACTAACAATGATGATCTGATAAGAAATGTCACCATATCAAAAACAATATACTCAGATCACAACATAATTGAGGTTCAGACATGTATGCGTGGAGCCCCAGACCAACATAATGAGACTAGTCACGAGGGAGCATTCACCAAATTCAACTTCAATAACAAAAACATAAAGTGGGACCAAGTAAACCAAGTCCTAACTGATATAAGCTGGGAAGATATACTAAGCAACACAGACCCCAACTTATGCCTAGAACAGATTAACTTGGTGGCACTCGATGTATACACAAGGCTTATTCCTCTAAGAAAAAGGAGGAGTAGATGTAAAATAGAAAGAGACAGGCGCTTCCTTTACAGGCGATGGAAAAGAATAACAGAGCGGCTAAAAGAGGTCAATATATCTGAAATGTGTAGGGAGACACTGGTCAGAGAAGTAGCAAGCATCGAACTTAAGCTAAAGGAATCTTATAGGAGTCAGGAATCGCGGGAAGAACTAAAAGCCATAAATGAAATCAAAAGAAACCCAAAGTATTTCTTCTCCTATGCCAAATCAAAGTCGAGAACAACGTCCAGTATTGAGCCCCTACTTAAACAAGATGGGTCCTACACAGATGACAGCAAGGAAATGAGTGAGCTACTCAAGTCCCAATATGACTCAGTTTTTAGCAAGCCGCTAACCAGACTGAGAGTCGAAGATCAAAATGAATTTTTTATGAGAGAGCCACAAAATTTGATTAACACAAGCCTATCCGATGTTATCCTGATGCCAAATGACTTCGAACAGGCGATAAATGACATGCCCATGCACTCTGCCCCAGGGCCAGACTCATGGAACTCCGTGTTCATCAAGAACTGCAAGAAGCCCCTTTCACGAGCCTTTTCCATCCTATGGAGAGGGAGCATGGACACGGGGGTCGTCCCACAGTTACTAAAAACAACAGACATAGCCCCACTCCACAAAGGGGGCAGTAAAGCAACAGCAAAGAACTACAGACCAATAGCACTAACATCCCATATCATAAAAATCTTTGAAAGGGTCCTAAGAAGCAAGATCACCACCCATCTAGAAACCCATCAGTTACACAACCCAGGGCAACATGGGTTTAGAACAGGTCGCTCCTGTCTGTCTCAACTATTGGATCACTACGACAAGGTCCTAAATGCACTAGAAGACAAAAAGAATGCAGATGTAATATATACAGACTTTGCAAAAGCCTTCGACAAGTGTGGCCATGGCGTAATAGCGCACAAAATGCGTGCTAAAGGAATAACAGGAAAAGTCGGTCGATGGATCTATAATTTCCTCACTAACAGAACACAGAGAGTAGTCGTCAACAAAGTCCGAGGCAGCTACGGTGAAAAGCTCTGTTCCACAAGGCACAGTACTCACTCCCGTCTTGTTCCTCATCCTCATATCCGACATAGACAAGGATGTCAGCCACAGCACCGTGTCTTCCTTTGCAGATGACACCCGAATCTGCATGACAGTGTCTTCCATTGCAGACACTGCAAGGCTCCAGGCGGACATCAACCAAATCTTTCAGTGGGCTGCAGAAAACAATATGAAGTTCAACGATGAGAAATTTCAATTACTCAGATATGGTAAACACGAGGAAATTAAATCTTCATCAGAGTACAAAACAAATTCTGGCCACAAAATAGAGCGAAACACCAACGTCAAAGACCTGGGAGTGATCATGTCGGAGGATCTCACCTTCAAGGACCATAAAATTGTATCAATCGCATCTGCTAGAAAAATGGCAGGATGGATAATGAGAACCTTCAAAACTAGGGAGGCCAAGCCCATGATGACACTCTTCAGGTCACTTGTTCTATCTAGGCTGGAATATTGCTGCACACTAACAGCACCTTTCAAGGAAGGTGAAATTGCTGACCTAGAAAATGTACAGAGAACCTTCACAGCGCGCATAACGGAGATAAAACACCTCAATTACTGGGAGCGCTTGAGGTTCCTAAACCTGTATTCCCTGGAACGCAGGCGGGAGAGATACATGATTATATACACCTGGAAAATCCTAGAGGGACTAGTACCGAACTTGCACACGAAAATCACTCGCTACGAAAGCAAAATACTTGGCAGACGATGCACCATCTCCCCAATGAAAAGCAGGGGTGTCACTAGCACGTTAAGAGACCATACAATAAGTGTCAGGGGCCCGAGACTGTTCAACTGCCTTCCAGCATACATAAGGGGGATTACCAACAGACCCCTGGCAGTCTTTAAGCTGGCACTGGACAAGCACCTAAAGTCGGTTCCTGACCAGCCGGGCTGTGGCTCGTACGTTAGTTTGCGTGCAGCCAGCAGCAACAGCCTGGTTGATCAGGCTCTGATCCACCAGGAGGCCTGGTCACAGACCGGGCCGCAGGGGCGTTGACCCCCGGAACTCTCTCCAGGTAAACTCCAGGTCTCCAGGTAAACAAGAGGAATTTTGAAGGGTTTGAGGCGGCCCCTGATGAGCCTATGTCAGTTGTGAACTCTATTGTGGCACTGGGAAGTTCCATGCGGTTGGATGTGAGTTTGGAGGATGTGGAAGAGTTGGTGGAGGACCACAACAAAGAGCTAACCACTGAGGAGCTGCAAGAGCTTCAGCAGGAACAGCAACAGATCGCAGCTCAGAATCTTGCTGCAAAGGAGGAGGAAGGGAGATGGAAGAAGGTGCCTTCTTCAGAAATTAAGGAGATTTTTGAAATGTGGGGTAGGATGGAAAGATTTATGGAGAAACATCACCCTGAGAAGGATGTTGCAAGCTATATCGGCAACTTGTACAGTGACAGAGTCTTGGCCCATTTTAGGGAAGTTTTAAAGAAACGCCAGAAACAGAGCTCTCTGGACAGTTTTTTTGCGAGACAGGACTCCAGTGACTCTCAAGCTGGTCCTAGTGGCATTAGGAAACAAAAAAGAGAAGTAATCCCAGAAAAAGCACTTGGTACCTGAGGTGTTGATGGAAGGGGATTCCCCTTCCAAACAGTAATTCAATCTCTCTCCTCCTCCAGTCTTCCATACACTAAGAAGAATTGCCAATAAAGGCAAGTGTTATGCTGTTAATGTGTCATTCATCATGTCCCATTGTATTGTTTATGTACTACATCTATATTTCATGTAAAAAATTTTTGTTTTAATACTTCTGGGTGTCAGGAACGGATTAATTGTATTTACATTATTTCTTATGGGGAAAATTGATTCAAAAATCGTCTATTTTGATAATAGTCCCACTTCCAGGAATGGATTAAGGACGATAATTGAGGGACCACTATAATAATAATAATAATATCTTTATTTACTACAAGTACATGTACAAGATATACAGGCCTAGCTAACATCAATGACATACTACTACATAGAAAGCCGCTTGTTATGCAGAGCATTTCAGGCAAATTAGGTCAGTTTTGTCTCAAAATGCGACCCACACCAGTTGACTAACACCCAGGTACCCATTTTACTGCTGGGTGAACATAGACAACCTGTGTAAGGAAACACATCCAATGTTTCCACCCCTTCGCTAGGAATTGAACCCAGACCCTCACCATGTGAAGCGAGAGGTTTTGCCACCAGGCCATGGTGGCCTCATGGTCTCACTAATCAAGGAGTATGCAGACATTTCAATGCCTTCATATGTTTACTGTATCTATCCTTTTTGACATCCCCATCTTCAATATGGGTTCTTTTTGATTTCTAACTATATACTGTAATTGATTTATCACACCAGCAGTATTTTCCTTTTACTTTTAAGCTCACCATTGACACATCTATATCTTTCCCTCAGTCCATATCATATACAGTACATGTACTCTAAAGCCAGGGTGGGCAGCCCTGTTGTCAGTCGCCACAAGTGGCACATTGGCCATGAAAATGGTGAATTTGAGTTTGCCGTATTTTAACTTTAACACTAAAACATGACAAAAACATTTTGACTGTGCTGGTTGCAACTTGAAATTTAATATCCCATCTTACAAAAGAGTTACTGATGAAACAGTGTCAGCCAATACTTCCCTCACTCCCTTCCCCTTCCTTTTTTGTAACTTATAATATAGACAAAAGAATTGTCAAATTATGCAATCAGTTTTTCTCATTTTTTTTAAATTTATTTTTTTTTTTTTTTTGTGCCTAAAGCAGTTGTAACTGAATAGTCAAACTTACATATTTTGAATAAACTTGTTCAAACAATTTAATGTACAGTGGAACCCCGAGTTTTGAACGCATCGACTGTCAAATGCTTCAAGTTTCAACTGCTTTTTTTGCACCAATTTTGTCCCAGGTATTGAATGTGCCCTGTGTTTCGAACCGCATACCCGACTTGTCTGCATCCCCCGCGCAGGCATTGTGAGCCAGTCTGGCTTTGCTTATGCTTGAGTGAACATTAGCTTGTGTGCTCATTTAAACATTTCACAATTAATTCATTATGTTTGGTGCTTGTTTATTAAGTGCGACTGAAATAAGCTACCATGGTGGTGGTAATGGATGGTGGTGGTGGGTGATGGTGGGGTGGGTGGTGGTGGATGGTATTGGTGGATGGTGGTGTATAGTGGTGGATGGTGCCTTCTTCAGAGATTAAGGAGATTTGTGCAATGTGGAATAGGGCATTTGCTGAAAAATATCACCCTGAGCAAGCTGAAACAAGCCATCTCTGCAACAAGTTCAGTGACAGAACCATGTCCCATTTTAGGGAAATCTTAAAGAAGGGAAGTAACCTCAGATTATCTGGGGTTACTAAAGTCTTTATGGAAGGGGATTCCCCTTCCAAACAATAAGTGCTCCCTCATTCCTCCCTATCTTCCAGATGCCATCAACAATCTTCAGTAAAGGTAAGTAAAAATGTTATTTTATATGTTTATTTAAATGTTTATTTATCTACATGTATTACTAATTGTACTATGTATGTTTCTTGTATGTAAAACTATAATTAATCTCTATAAAATGTATTTTTTTGTGAATATTTTTGGGTTTCTGGAACAGATTACTTGTACGTACTTACATTATTTCTCATGGGAAATATGGCTTTGAGTTTCGAACGTTTCAACTTTAGAACTAGCTCCTGGAACAGATTAAGTTCAAAACTCAGAGTACCACTGTATTTTATAATTTTCAGTTGAGCAGCTTAATTTCTCATTTTTTGCATGAAGTGGTGAATTTCACTTCTCTTTTGCCATATCTGTGGCTACAATAAAACACCTCAATTACTGGAAACACCTGAAGTTCTTCAACCTATACTCCCTAGAATGCAGGTGGGGGAGATACATGTTTATATACACTTGGAAAATCCTAGAGGGATTAGTACCAAACTTGTACACATAAATCACTCCCTATGAAAGCAAAAGACTCGGCATACGATGCAACATCCCCCTACTGAAAAGCAGGGGCGCCACTAGCACGATAAGAGACAACACAATAAGTGTCAGGGGCCCAAGACAGTTCAGCTGTCTCCCAGCATACATAAGGGGGATTACCAATAGACCCCTGGCTGTCTTCAAGAATGCGTTGGGCAGGCACCTCAAATCAGTACCTGTGGTTTGTACGTCAAGTTGTGTGCAGCCAACAGTAACAGTCTGGTTGATCAGGCCCTGATCCACCATGAGGCCTGGTCACAGACTGGGCCATGGGGGCATTGACCCCCAAAACCCTCTCCAGGTATCCATTTAAAAATATGCTGTCCATCTGTGCTCTAAAATACTAATACCCCACTCCACCACACCTCTTCTTAGGTCATTCCTCAAAGGGGGATGACATGATGTCCATGAATGGCTCAAAGGAATTAGAGCTCCCATCCCCTTCCTTGAATTAAACTGGATTGCTTCCAATTCTCAAGGAACTGTATGACTCTTATGGTTCATACAGTGCCTGTTAACTTCATTTTATTTGTGGAGGTTGGAATGTATTTATGTTCATTTCTTGTTTACAAGATACAATAATGGTGTCTCTCTGATACATAAAAAATCTGATCCTAATAAAAAAATAAAGCAGAATTTTTTCAAGGAGTGTATATCTCAAGAAAACATGGGAATATATGTTTACCTTAGTGTAATTTCATTGAGCAAAGCTTGAAATTTTTTTCCGGACTGCATCTCTGTTACTATGTGAAGAATAACTGTGTTTAAAATAAGAAGAAGAAATAAGAATGTACAGCAGGTGAGAGATACCACTTACTGAGCGAGAATAAGCTAAGTGTAAGTCAACCTACACAGATTTCCTGCATCCCAGTGAGCTCCATGACCTGCAGAGCTTTACGATACAACAAAATATGTTTGCATAAGAGAGATTCTCTTCTCTGCCATCCTTCATGCAGGACACACAACCATCCAGGTTAAGCCAGTCCCAAAACTTCACTTCACTGCTCTGGACTGTTGTTGTTTGCTCTTCCTTGACTATTTCTAGCCACACTATGTCTACTGGTGTGTATATTGATGGCTTCAAAATCCAGTAATGGAGTGGGATACTCTGGAGTTTTCTTGATCATATGAGCCCCAAATTAAGGACCATAATCAGTATGAGCCCCAAATTAATGACCATAATCAGTATATTTTTTACTGGCTGCTGTCATCCATACTGTTACCATGTCTGTGTCATCATTTCTTGTACTGGAGTTTCAAATTAAGTGGATTGGTGTGAGTGATTAAGACCACTGATTCTGGCTCATCATTGATTGTACTGGAGTTTGATTAAGTGGGCTGGTGTGAATGATTCAGACCACTGAGTCCTTTTATCCTTTCATCCTTTACATTCAGTGCTGGCTGTGTCCCATTTTCAGTGGACACAAATGGTCATCTTTTGCCGAATCTCTGGCCATGCTAGTATTTAGGGCATTGACCTTGTTGATTCCTCTGCACATTCCACAGTTCAAAAACCTTCAATATCCTGTAGGCTGTTGATATTTTCTAGTACTAACTTAACTTAACATCCTTGATCTGTACGTACTTATTAAGGACTAACAAGCTTTTTTTTTAAACAACAATTGGACTTCTGGCCATCCTTTGTTCATCTCTGCCAGTTATGGAAAACTATGATCATGCACCTACATATTCATCACAATAGACTTTTGTTGTGTGGTTATCTTATGAAAGAACAGGGCACCTAGTACCATGGAAAAAATTATTAGGTCATGCCGACAGCCCAACACCTTTAAATTGATGGTCTCCTTCATCAGAGAGAATGCTGACTTTATTTTTTATCTCTCCATAAATCCCCTTAACTACTTTTATTTGCCCTGCTATCTGTCAGCCCAACCTTAATACAAATTCTGCAATTCGCTTTAATTGAAACCAATTTACTGTATCAACTGTGACTTTCTCCTTTTGCCCTTGTTCTCTTCCTCAACTCTCCTACCTCTAATCTTCTATTAGCCTCACTCAACCAATGCAGTAATGAATGATCCACATGGGTTCAGCATTTTCCCTGAATGTAATCAGTGTGTGTTCTTAATAATATATATTCAGGATGGTTATTTCCATCCTGAATACGTATGTATATATTATTTGATTCGAGTAAGGGAAAGATAGCTACAATTCCTCGAATGAACAGCTCTTCACCAGCATCAAGTTTCCTCTTGAAGGGACTCTGCTTGTAATATAACCTATCCAAAACCTGGAATTCATAATACAGTAGACTCCCAGCTTTCGTAATTAATCCGTTCCAGAAGGTTGGCTGAAATCTGAAATGGCCAAAAACTAAAGTACTGTACATGTAATATTTCCCATAAGAATAATGTAAATCCAATTAATCCATTTCAGACACCCAAAAACATTAACAAAAGATACATTTTATAGAGAATAGCTAGTTTTACATACAGAAAACAATGAGAAATAAATATGACTAATTTTAATGGTAAAAGAACATTACATACCTTTATTGAAGACTCTTTTTGGTGAGTAGTATTTATTTGTAGTCCCAGGCGAACTACGTCCCAGGTGTATACCTACCGGCTACATACACTGCGGCCTACACCCATATTTACTATCGACACACCATGTTCACTGAGTTTGTTTCTCACAACTACCTTTAGATGCCATCATAAACAAAGGGAGAAGTAATGAATAATTCATTCCGAGAATTGTAAACAAAAGCCTTATGTGTTAAGGGCAGTTACTGGGCCAACGCAGATTCATACACGTTTTTTCTGAAGCTGGACCAGAGAAAAATGTAATGTTTACCCTCCACCGACCCCTCAATAGCATATAAACATTGCATTTTTATATGCTATATAAACATTGCATGTTTATATGCTATGTAACATGTTTCTTAAGTAATTTTGAAGAAAATATCATAGATGGATTAATGAAAATGTCTATATTAACATAAAATAAGACATTTAATGTGCCTAAGAGTGATTATTATTACGTACTATTAGTATTATTACTATGGAGGGATGTTCTTAGTGAACGAGTAACGAAGGCACGTTTATATGCTATGTAACGTGTTTCCTAGATATTTTTGAAGAAAATATCTTACATGGATTAATGAAAATGTCTATATTAACGTAAAATAAGACATTTAATGTGCCCAAGAGTGAGTCACAAACGTATGAGTGGCCCAGGCAGATGCGTCTGGTACCAACGATTTCCGAGCAGATGTATGAAACCCAGGGGAAGATTTTGCCAAAAAAAGTGCTTGAAATCCAAATTGTACGATTTCCACACCGGCTGAAAACCGGGGGTCCACTGTACTGTATCTACATGACCAGTGGGAAATAATGCCATTTATTTTCTCATAATGTTTCACTCTTATTCTCGTGTTCATTGTCACCTCTCAAGAGTTACTCATATGCATAGTGTGTTTTATTTGTCATTATACCTACCTATTGCATTTTCTTGGCCTTCTCATTCTCCTACTGTCATATTCATGCAAATATACTTTCTACACAAAGCTAAAACAGAATGTAACATTCTCTGGCAACTATTAACCTGCTACTTCAGATATGGTATCTTCAAAACATAAAGACTTTTGAATGTCATGAGATTCTACATGTGACCATATCCTTGAAGAAGGAAAGTTCTCAGAGGGAACACAGCATTATTAATATACATTAATATAAAAATAAAAATTATTAATTTGTTATTAGAATAACAATGTAATCTTTCTCGCATTTCAGATAAGACGTGAAGTGGGAGCCAGAACATTCACAGGTATAAATACCAAGTTGAGAGAAGAGAGCTTACACTGGCAGATGCATGAGAATATCAGAATCTTCTTTCAAAAGTAACACAAGTTTAAATCACAATTCTGAGGCAGTTCCTGAGAATATCTTAATTCAGTAATCAAACTAAAATTTTGTGTTGCATATTAAGTACGGTACATAATCATAAAATTAGTGATAAACCTTGCAACAAGTGTGCAAAAAAAATCATAATACATGATTGTAGTGCAGTGGCTAAGGTGGCAGACAGGTAATCCCAGACTGTAAGTTTGAATCCTGATCACTCTGTTGAAATCTTAAACATTTATAAATACATATGGAAAATAAAGATTCAGTGTTGTTTGAGATATAGGCATGTCGGCAAATATTTTGAAGTGCTTCCATTGTCCTGACTGCAGTAAGGAATTTAGTAAAGAAAAGACATTGATAAAACATTTTAAAGTGCACAGCTCAGGAAAGTCCTATAGATGTAAAATATGTTATAATGTATATCCAAGCAAGAGACAGTACAATGATCACAAAAAAACACACTTAGAAAAGGAATACAGTAGCTGTGTCGAATGTGAAAAGAAAGTTCTCAAAACATTATTACATAGAAAATGTTGTGAAGAATGCTTTTTTAAACCTAAAAAGTACTTGTGTGAAAAATGTGGTAAATCATATGATTCCCTGGTGGGAGTAAGAATTCACATAAAAAAGGGAAAGCATTCTACCCTGTTTTTACAATGCTTTATATGTGCTTTGACATTCCATTCGAATATGGCATTGTTTTTACATGTGAGTCAACATTCAGAATATAATGTAAAAATAGTTGGGGCATCTGAACAAAGCTGCTTTGGAAATGATTGCTCAAAACCAGGAAATCTAGAGTTCAGTAACACATCATTACATTTCAAGGTGACTAACCTCTCTATGATGGTATTCAAGAATCATAAAGAAGTAAATGAAGATGCCAATAGAGAAAGTTCACAGGCTAGCACAAGTGAAGAGAAAAAAGTACTGCAAGGTATGAACAGAGCAATCAGTGAACATTATAAAAGTAAACAAGTTATGCCAGAGATGAATAGTATGCTACAGGCAGAGAGAATGCAGGAACTGGGAGGTCTGACACTTCAAGGCAACACAGTACAGCAGGCTATTACACCTAATAATACAATCTTAGATTCATATGTTGTTTTGCCACAGCAACAGGGCATGGCACAAGAGAGGATAAGGAACAAGGTGTCACTGCCTAAAGACAGTAGTGCTTCAAATAATTCTACTCAGTTACAGAGTATAATGGGATTTGATTATGCAAACCCCCAGGAAAGGAAAGTCCCACAGGATGAAATATCAACATTGGGGAGTGAAAAATATGGGAATGACCAGAAAAGTGTTATGGCTCCACAGAAAATTAACTCTGTACAGTATGAGTTACCAAACTGCAAAAGGGTTTTGCAGGAAGGTGGAACAATTTCTCTAGGAGCTTCAGTAGCTCTACAGGTTCATGACAAACCACAACCTAACAAAGACACACCTAGAATACCAAATCAAGAATGTTTATTATATGAGAAAATGTTTGGAAGTGAACTGAATATGGGAAGGTACACACAGTTGCACAACAAAATAAATAATCAAGCTGGAAGTCAGGATTTAATGACATTGCATCATGCATGGCCAAATGGTTACTGTGATGTGTTACTGAATGGACTACTTGCAGAAAATGTACAGTTGCATGAAAAAATAAAAAGTTCCAATCCAGTAGCAGAACAAGATAAAAATACTGAAGAACACCTCTTACTGGACTGTGAAGTGACCAAGAGTAATGAACTTGGAATACACATGAAAGATATTGGAGAAAAAGAGGAAGTGCTGATTTTCAATGTAAGGGATAAGCTGGAGAAGAGCATGCAGGACAGACACTTTAAACAAGGAAATAAACAGCAGCTACTTTATAAAGAAGATTTGCAGTGTAAGTTTGAACCTCACCATGGCCAGACAATTCAAGCAAAAACTGCATTTCCAGTTGAGGATGACAGACTGGTGCACCATAACAAATTGACAACAAATGGGACAAAAGATACAAATAAGGTATTTGGTCTAAACAAGCGAGATAATTTACAATTAATAAATGATATGAAAAATGAAACTTTATTAATGTACAAGTTGTGGCTCGAACGTAAAAAGAAACAGAGTGTAACCGATGATATTGAAAGCAAGAAAAAAGACAGTGATAATTGTCTGGAAATGCTTAGTTCAGAACATTCAGAAAATAAGCTGAAATTAAGCTTTAGTCCAAAACAAAATATGTTAACTAATTCTCATCATTTTGATATTCGAAGTACTTTTCATGTTGGAAACCAGCATACAGAAAATGAAAATGTAATTTTCAGTGAAACTGAGAGACATATAATTGATCAGTTTGATGAAAAGTGGGCAACTGTTCCTCTACAAAATTCCATTGTTACAGGTGGTGTTAATGTTGAAGATTATATCAACCATCTCATGTGGCACTGAATTTAGTACTGTACTTGTTGTTAAATGTGCATTAATTTTTTACAAATACCAACAGGCCAACCATACCTGAATAAATTTAAATGCAACTTTTGATATAATTACTTCCATTGAAAGTACCTCCTCCCCTTCCTTGGATCAAACCTAAATGCCTCTCATTTCCTAGGTGCTATATAACCCCTATGGGTTTAGCATTTTCCCATGATTAAAAAAAATAATTTAGTGTCTCCAAGTATAAGTCAATAATACTGTCTGTCATTCTTATGGATTATAATATTACCTTGCTGTCTCCACCTTACCTGATGTTTTTGTTACTATTCACTTGTAAGAAATCAGAATCTAGTTTTGATTCCTGCACTTTCTATTAACTCATTGTTGCTATCAAGATTTTGCCACCAAAGATGTTTATAGCTTTATATGTTTGGGTTAGATCATGAGGTTAGCTTCAGGTCAGGCTGCAAGAACAAAATAACTCCTGGACTAGTCAAAAGAAATATTTAATTGTGTTAGTAAGAGGTTTCAAGCCGAGATGAAATTGAAAGGGAGACTGACAGAATTTTCAGGCTTAATAATAATAATAATAGTAATAATAATATCTTTATTTCTACATGTACAAGGTATACAGGCCTAGCTGACATCAATGACATACTACCGTATAGAAGGCCACTTGTTATGCAGAGCATTTCAGGCAAATTTGGTCAATCTTGTCCCAGGATGCAACCCACACCAGTCGACTAGCACCCAGGTACCCATTTTACTGATGGGTGAACATGGACAACCGGTGTAAGGAAACACGCCCATTGTTTTCACCCTTGCAGGGAACTGAACCTGGACCCTCAGCATGTGAAGTGAGAGCTTTTGCCACCAGGCCATGGGCCACCATATGTAGCTAAAAGTTGAGGGTGTCAGCTGACATATTTGAAGAGGAGCAAGTCATTATGAGATAATGACTTGGCTGTAGGCCTGTTTTGAAGTTTAAAGTGATCCTTGAAACAAGTGATACCCAAGTTTAATGGTGGGATTTACAGGTGAAATCCACCTCAAGGTCTCTTAATGCTAGCGAGGGGCATTTATTATTATAATCAAGGGGAAGCGCTAAACCCGGAGGATTATACAGCGCCTGGGGGGGGATGTGGAAGGCATTCAGGCTTAATTCGGGGAACTGGAGCACAGATCCAATTCCCTAAATCAAGAGCCCCTCACCAACATCTAGCGAGGGGCAGTTGACCCAAGGAATTGGGCCTATCCTTCCCTGCCTTGGATCAAACCTGAATGCCTCCAATTACCCCAAGTGCTGTATGACCCCACTTGGTTTAGCACTCCCCCCATTACGAGTGAGCTCAAGAGGGTTAGGGAAAATGTAAGACTTGGATTATATAATGAAAAGTATACCATAATATTTTGGCATTTCTATATTTGTATTGTAAGTGTTGTATACAGAAGGTACATATTTAAATTAATAATTACTATAATGTGAATAGTTGATGTTCAAATATTGAATTATTATTTTCACAGAAGACTAAAATTGAATAGGTGGTGTAACAACTTGGTATCATGTACAAACTTATCTGAATATTATGCCTTTATTTAGGCCTGTGATATCCTCATTATTTTTCTGAGGTTCATGGATATGGATAAACAAGTACAAAATATTTTGGAGGGAATTACACATAGGAACTTAAAAAAAATATGAATTTTTCTTATGGCATCTATTTGCAAATATAAGGAATAATATTCTCTGAACATGAAAAAGGTTATTTTGTAATCAATAATTTTGGTATGAATTTTTTTTTTTTTTCAACAAGTTAGCTGTCTCCCACCGAGGCAGGGTGACCCTCAGCATTTCTTTTGTTTTTGTAAAAACACAAGACACATGTATCAGTTTTGCTCTTTTGATAAATATCTTTAATTTAAGAATATTACTACACCAATTTATATTTTTTTTAATAAGATTTTCCTGGTCTACTCCATTTTCATCTGTAATTTATTTTTGAGTTTTATCAGACATAGATACATGCATATGATAAAAACTAAAATATAATACAGTAAGCCCTCAATATAACACTTAGAATTATGAGCAAAATCCACTGGTTAACTTATATTTTTAATTGCTTTATTTCCAATGTTTATTGCAGTATATCTCTGAATTTTATGTTCGGTACTGCTTCCTTCCCTACCCTGCAGCGCTGTATAGCCCTTGTGGCTTAGCGCTTCTTTTTGATTATAATAATAAATAATATGTTCAGTACTATTAAGTATACAGTTAACACTTTCAGGGTCCGTCCCGTAGATCTACGGCTTTACGTTCAGGGTCCAAACCGTAGATCTACGCCATGAGCTCAGCTCATTCTGATAAACTGTGAGTGGTACATTTGGGCCCAGATACGAGAGAATACATCTATGTGGTATGTGTGCACCACATAAAACAAATCCTGCAACACACTGTATATAATGAGAAAAAAAAACTGAGACCATGATTTTCGATTAAAACAACGACTTTGCAGTGTTTTTTCGTATGTTTTTTATAATTGTATTTGCGATTTCTTGGTCTCATTTGATAGAATGGAAGACGTACTACAGAAATAGAGATGATTTTGATTGGTTTTTGCAATGGAAATGGCTTGAAGCTTAGCTCAAAATAGCGGAAATGTTAAAATTTTGCCGATGTTCAAGAGTAAACAAACGACCTCACACATCTAATACACGCCAGCTGGTGGGTCTAATATACATTCACAAATGTGGTGATGATATTTATACAATTATTACAATATTGCATAACAGTAAATCTTCTATTTTTTGGTGTGAATAAAAATTCATTATGTGAATAAAAAATCAAAATGGAATTTATTTGTAAAGCCTCAAAATGTAACTAATGAACAGAGGAAATGTTAGTTTAGTGCCAGGAATACCTACATTGTTTATGCTGGACCCTATTTTGAAACTGGAATATTTTGAACTTTGTGTTAAATTGGCCAAATTACCAATTTCCGATCACTTTATTTTGTAGTTGAAACAGTTGACTTGGCGATTTCTTGAGCTCAATCGATAGAATAGAATAATACTAGTGAAATAGCTAAGAATTTGGTCGACTGGAATAATATAATTGGCCTAAAATGGGAGTCAAAGTCGGCAAAATAGCCGATTCGTAAATATCGCTGACACATCAAAATTCGCGAAAGCATAATTTTGTAAATTTTCCATCAAATTTCGTACTTTTTGTTTTATTACCTTCACAAAAAGATTCTCTACCATTTCATAAGAAAAAATAAAAATTTTTTTTTTTTTTTTAAATTCTTGGACACTGGGGCACCACTTCAGATTTTGGCCTTGGACCCTGAAGGGGTTAAGTACAGTGGTACCTCGAATTACGATCTTAATTCGTTCCAGAAGGCTGTTTGAGTGCCAATACCAAATTTGTTCCCATAAGGAATAGTCCGTTTCAGACCCCCAAAAATACACTTACAAAGGCACTTACAAAAATATACTTACATAATTGTTCGAGTTGGGAGCTGTTCGAAACTCAAGGTACCACTGTACTTTAGTATTCTACTGTATGCTGGTCTAATAGACACTCACAATCTCCTATTAGTCCATTTTATCAAAGGTTTACTGTATACAGTACAGTTGCCCCCCAGCTTAACTATGATAATGTTCACAAAGTAATTTTAACCCTTTCAGGGTCCGTCCCTTAGATCTACGGCTGGTCGGTGAGTGTCCAAACCGTAGATCTACGCCAAAATTCTAGCGCCGTCAAATTTAGCGCGAAAGCGCTCATAGGCCTACATGTGAGAGAATGGGTCTGCGCCGTGGGTGTGCGCCGTAAACAAAAAATCTAGGCGCCTGCATAGCATTGTGGGAACGCCGGCTCAGTCACCCTTGTTCACCATGCCTCGTCGCAAGTCAGCTCTCACTCCCCGGAAAATTGGGACTCTCCTCTTCCTGTCTGATAGTTCTGACACTGATGGAAGTGGAAATGAAGACGAATTCTACGGCTTTGATAAGTTAGTGACCGAAAATAATGACCAGGATATCGATAATGGTGCAGAAAACCCCGACGATCCTCGACCTTCTACCTCTGGTGTGGGCACTCGTGACTCACGGTCGGGTGTTCCTAAACATAGAGAAAACTAATATTTTCCCGTGGCCTGGCCTCTGACTTCAGTAATGACGATGATTCTGACGTGGATTGTGATTTTATTGCGCTCGACGATCATTCGAGTAGTGATAGTGAGGAAACATATTCACCAGTGAAGCATCGGTATGTTCGCCGCCGCATGCGCTCGGGTAGTGTACCCTATGCTGTGCCCAGGGGACAGAGTACATCCCGGAGTACATCCCGTGGCCCTACACCCGTTTTAGGTAGTGATAGTGAGGATTTATGTGGCTACACTTGGCATGGATGGGCCACAGGCATCAGTGGATGGTGTTAGTGGGGCTGGTGGTGGTAGTGGCACCGCCATGCGTGACTCACTGTGCCACGCGGGGACCCATGCTGCTGACTTTATCAGTTCAAGGACAAAGCGGAGCGTCACCCACCAGCCCGCCACAACCACCCGTACAACCAGCCTATGATGTCCAGTATCCACCAGCAAACCGTATCTGGGATTGGCAGCAAAATCCCAATTTTGTTCCCAGCCCTCACCACTTTGATGACTCTCAAGTGGAATTCTACCTACCTGTCCCCTTGGAACCACTGCCAATGAACTGGAATTCTTTGAATTATTCTTTGACCCGCCATTGATGGAAATTATTGTCAGGGAAAGTAATAAGTATTTTCAGTACACCATGGCAAATACGATCTTATCACCACAGTCAAGACTACACAGGTGGAAAAAGAGACGACTGTTGCAGAAATGTATTTGGTTTTTGCAACAATAATGCTTATGCCTCACGTCTATAAGCATAATATAAAAGCATACTGGTCCACAGATCGGCTAATTTGTACCCCATCCTTCAGTGGAAAATACCAGTGAACAGGTTTATCTTACTGTTAGTATGTTGCACTTCTCTGACAAAACCAGGCTGACAGAAGTGACAGGTTATACAAGATTAGAAATGTTTTTTGTATCTCAAACAAAAGTTCAGGATATACTTTTATCCATTCAAGAATCTTGTAATTGACGAGTCTTTGATTTTGTTCAAGGGTTAGACTGTCATTCAAGCAGTATATACCGAGCAAGAGGAACCGCTTTGGTATAAAATTGTTTGTATTTTGTGATTGTGACAGTGGCCTGGTGTTGGATATTGTTGTATACACGGGTAGTAAAACATTTGAAAGATACCAAGATGTTAATTGGGTATATCAGGTGACGTAGTGAGAAACATGATGGCACCTTATCTTGGTAAGGGCCATACATTATATTACCGATAACTGGTAACAAGCCATTACTCAGTGATTTCATGCGAAGTGAACAAGACAGATGTGTGTGGCACAGTGCGTTCTAATCGTAAACATATGCCCAGGCTCAACGCAGGTGTTCTGTGGTGATGACGTGCAGGTGTTTACTGCAATGACATCATGGCATTACGGTGGCATGACAAACGAGATGTCACATTGTTGAACAACCATTCACCGTAATGAAATGCAAGACGTGGCAAAAGTTGGATCGAAGTGACTAATGAACGTATTCGAAAACCAGTGACAGTGATTGATTATACACAAAACATGCGCTTGGTTGACAAGTGTGACATGCAGATTGGTTTTGTTGACTGTGTTCGTAAGAGTTACAAGTGGTACATGAAACTTTTCTTCCATCTCATGGACATTTCAATGCTGAATGCATATAATATGTACCAAATAAAGATGGTAACAGACCACCGTATGGTGAATTTTGTTTGTCTGTTGTCAGACAACTCATATGAAGTACCAGGTAACAACACCTGCAATACAACATGGTCCTCGAATTCATCACAATATACCCAAGCGTTTGAGGAGAGAAGGTGATCATTTCATAATACAGCTTCCTTCAACTCAAAAGAAATTTGCTCAGAAGAGATGCATTGTCTGTGCACAATACAAAACGACGGCAACAAAGACGCAAAGACACTCGGTTTATGTGTGAGGAATGTAAGGTGCCTCTGTGCATGGTGCCTTGTTTCAAGGAGTTCCACAAGCTCCAGCAGTTCTAAAACCATGTCCAGTGATTGTAAATATGTAAATATATGATATGCATGTTTATTGTAATAAACAACAGTGGTAAACAATAATATGATAATAACTTTAGTGCGGTTATTGTGTTCAATACAGTGGTATATATATATCTATTATATACAGTATTGGTCTCTCAGGCCCCAAATGTTAGTAGGAATAGAAAAAAATTGGAAAAGAAAAGAAAAAACAACTAAAACAACAAAATAATATAATACGCGTATGTGGAATTCGTCGATGTTGCCGCCACCACATCATTTTCTACAAACTTCTTGGCACTGTATCTCGGTAAGTACTGATCAGATTCTAATTTTTTTTGTTTTATTACCTTCACAAAAATATGCTCTTTAATTCTGTAAGAAAAAATAATTTTTTTTTTTTTTTCAAAATTTCTTGGACACTGGTGCGTGACTTCAGATTTTGGCCTTGGACCCTGAAAGGGTTAAATACTGTAATGACCCAAAAAAGCTTTGAGCTCCTACATAAAACTGGAATTTTTATTCATGCAGTGACCTCAAGTTAGCAAAAATTAGCAACATGTAAGGTTTGTATATCCCTGCTGCTGGTTTGATACAGTAGTACATAGCACTTGAGTATTTTTATACCATCCATGAATTTTTTTTTTATCCAGAAACAACTGAAAAAAAATAATTACAAACATCTCCCCAACAAGCATAATACAGACATCAACATTTCTTGACCACATTATACCAAACAAACAGGAACTTGCTGTCCTTCACCAAATGACCATATACCAAAGATAAATACATTTAGCATTAAAAACAGAAAAAAATAAATACTGCATAAATGTGGAGGCAGTATATGACAAGTACATGCAGTCAACCCTTAACCTGCCATTAATGTAAATTTATGCCAAGTGGGAAAATGCCATTGACATATATATTTATGCCAGAATTCAGGACATCCAAAATGGTCCTAATGAGCCTGTTTAGGCCTTCATCAAAGAAAACAGATCTGGGTCATAGGTGTGTGCAGTACAAAAAATAAATTGTGTGCAGGATATTGTGGGAGCCAGAAAATGCTATTTCCTTAGTACAGATTAATGAACATTAAATAGAAGTGACATGCTATATAAAAAACATAGGAGTAGGCCACCTTCAAACCTTAATATCTCAGTAAGTACTACTTCGATTTTATTCATTCTGGTCTTGTTACACTTCTTAAATTAGTACAGTATTTAATATTTTTTTCAAAATTGCCAGCACTGGATGCATGTTTATTTTAAAAGCTTCAGCAGTTTAAGGGTGGCAGTGTATGACTAACAGTCCTTTCTCCTCTTCTCCATTAAATATAACCTTTTTAGCTCCCTTATACATATTAGTTATATTAAAAAATTCCTGAACCTGCCCCAACTAAAGAGATGCTCTCTTTTGCATAGGTCATGAATATAAGCTGTACAGACAGTGCAGATGTGTGGCAGGCTTAGATTACTATATTCACGGAAAAGCACTCGAGCCATAAGTGGAGTGTTAGTGAAATTGCTAGGTCTCATTACTCACTTGAGCAGAGGTATCAGTTGAGCTCAGACACTAGTGAGTGTCATCAGGCTGCTGCTCCACACACTTCCTTACTGGTTCTGAGTTTTGCTATCTTATGCCATTAATAGCATCTAATACTAAATAATAAGTTTGATCTACAACTGTTTTTAGTTAGTAAATGCAGCACAGTATAAGGGAGAAAAAATTACTAACAAATTACTGATGTATGGGCCACAAGCTATCCTCAGCTACGTCACTTGTACTTCTCTCATTGCCTCTTCTACTCATACCACCACTACCATATTACCTTGTCAGATACAATGGGAGGGAAGGAGTAATGTTGTCTTATTCACATCTCCAATTATAAAGAGTTTTTTATGAGAAAATGGGATTTAATTAAGGAACTATTTTATTTATCCCTATTTAGTGTGTAAGGTGTGACCAATATTTCAAAAATGTTTTCAGCATTCTCTTCACTGTATTTACTCAGGTATTAGCAAAATTTTGATGAAAATAAGAAAAAATTTTAGAGTGAGATAAACAGGTTAAGAAAGCTTAGGGAATGAATGGATTTGTCAGTTAAAAACAGAGTAGGGGAGTTAGTAGATGGGGAGCTGGAGGTATT